TTTCTCGGAACTTACATTACGCAATGGTGTCAGCATTAAAATCACCGCTGACTTACATACATAAAATTATGTTCAATAATCAATATTGTGTAATGTATAAACAACAGGACGTAGATTTAACGGTGAGAGGCGATACCATAATAATTAATAATTATCTATATTGTATGACCATAATATTATACTATGTATTGAATATCACGAGTATTCGTGTCATAGGAGGGGACTATAGGAGAGGATTGCAGCAGAAAATATGTGTGGTACTGTGTTGTGTAACATTAATACCGCGTAATACCAGTACCTATACCACGTTACCACGTCCTTGCCGTAGGAAATAATATTCACGGAATAACAAGTACCTAATAACGAATGACTATATTGGTGTATTTTAAACCGTGCTAATAACTAATAATTAAAGACCGGATTTAGCATATTATGCATATTCATATTTTTATAAGCTATTACATGCAGTAAATGGATTTTCATCAATCATAGTTAAATAAATCCCACCAAAAACATATATGTAAAATGAGAGCCAAGTTCAATACTATAATAATAATATATACCTTGGTTGTTGACTTCAACGACAAAAGAAGTGAGATCTAAATGGGTGCCAAGTTAGGATAATATGTTGAAGCCTAAGGTGTGACTTGGCTACTTTTCATATACGAATTATTATTATAAGTAGGTACCTACTAAAACAGTAATGGAAGAGTGAAGATGATTTTCCGAAGAATAAAATAAGAACTCAAAGCTTTAGAACTTGCAAAGCAAATGCTATAATATATAATTCGTAGCCAAGTCAGACCTTAGGCTTCAATATATTATCCTAACTTGGCACCCATTTAGATCTCACTTCTTTTGTCGTTGAAGTCAACAACCAAGGTATATATTATTATTATAGTATTGAACTTGGCTCTCATTTTACATATATGTTTTTGGTGGGATATCATTACTTTTTGTATGTAAATTATTATAACCTAACCTAACCTAGCCATGACGTATTCTATAAATAAAGTTTATTACTATATAATATAATTCAGTTACTAATATTAATAATAATATTTATTATAAAATATTTTCCGTTGTATATACAGAGTATAAAATATATGTAAAATTAATATACAATTATTTTAACTCTTTTTGAGTATATTTTTAATTATCATAATTTTATTGACTGTAGTTTCTACTGTTGGGTGGATAATTCATAATTTGTAAGAATAATTATTTAATTATTTTAATTGTAATATTTAAAAAAATAATATTAATTAAATACATAGATAGAAAAAAAAGTATGTTGCTGCGCGCGGGTCGACAATATCGACACATATTCGGCTAGTCGTATTTTTGGAGCGGCGATACGGGAAAGGTTATTTAAGTCAACATTACATTAAATTAGAGGCAATTCATTAATAAATTGAAAAATTAAACATAATAGATAAAATAATTGCAAAATTATAATAAAATCAATTGATTAAAAAATTAAAAATTGAAAAATTAAAAATTAAAAATTAAAAAATTTTAAATTAAAAATTTTCAAGTTTCTGATTTTTTCCTTTGTATTTACCTAACTACCTATCTGTATGCCAAATTTGAACTTTCTAGGTCATCTGGAACTGGGTTAGAATTTTGATCTATAGGTAAGTCAGTGATAAAAATGACGATTTTCGGACGTTAATATCTAAATAACGGTTTGAAGTATGTTTATGAAATTTAGAGCACATATGTATCTCGTTAGTCTCAATATATGAGCCAAATTTGACATGTTTATGTGGAATAGTTTTTGAGTTATGAGGGGGTCAAAAGTGGCTCCAAATGGTTCGTGTAATATTACACACGGTGCTGCTCGCCAGTTCTGTTAGCTAGAACTTGGCTTGACACGCTACCGCGTGTCTAGATAATGTTACAAATTTTTATTTTGCATATTTTTGCATATTTTGGGTACAAGTGCATATTTTCCATAAAAATGCATGTTTTTGCATATTACGTATATATTTAAATATTTTTATTTAATTTTATAACTGTATGTACCATTATTATACACAAATTTGTTCAAAACACAAAAATTGAAAATATTTTTAAAAATATAATAGGCAGATTGTATACTGATTTTCCCGTCGTATAGTTTTATCTTATCTAACATTATCAAGTTATCGACTATCGTTTATTTATACTACAGAACACAGACTGACAGACTAACGACTGTAGTTCGAAGTGTACATTCGGCAATAGTCAACGACGTCAACGTAGTTCTAAATAAACACATATTAATTTTATATAACATTGTTTGTGTTTTTAAATTACAATGCCAAAGTTTCCAAGTTCAAAATTACCATCACTTAGAAAATGGATTGAACCGTATAATAAATCAGGTGAGGTTTTCAAAACCTTAAATAATAATTCAGTTTTTTGTCAGTATTGTAATAAAGTAGTCGTTGTAGAAAAAAAGTTTCAAATTGATCAGCATGTTAAGTCATTTTCACACGAAAAATATTCAAAAACTCCAACTTCTAAACAAACATTCGTTAACCAACAGTCAACTTCAAGTGAAAATCAATCAGTATTTTTCCAAGAACTTTGTTCAGCTATGATTTCTTCTAACATACCACTGCATAAATTACAAAATACCAATTTTAGGTCTTTTTTGGAGAAATATACTCATCTACATATACCTGATGAAAGTACCCTAAGAAAGAATTATGTAATCAAATGTTACACAGATATTTTAACAAAAATACGAGAAAACATAGGAAGTTCATTCATATATTTTTGTATCGATGAAACTACTGACCCACGAGGCAAATATGTTGCGAATTTTATTGTTGGAAAGTTAAATGTTGATTCACCATCAAAATCTTATCTTTTAGCATCTAAAGTTCTTGAAAAAACAAACAATAATACTATAGCAAAATTTGTAAATGATTGTCTTAGAATATTATGGCCAGAGGGAGGTAATGACGAAAAAGTTTTGTTAATGTTATCCGATGCAGCCCCATATATGGTTAAGGCTGCCAAAAATTTAAAACCATTTTATTCCAATCTTATTCATGTGACTTGTGCTGCTCACGGGATTCATCGGATTGCAGAAAATATTATGGATATTTTTCATGAAATAAACGATTTAATTAACAACGGAAAAAAGATTTTTTTGAAAGCTCCTTATAGAATTCAATTATATCATGAAATGCTACCTAATAAACCATTACCGCCCCAACCTATAATAACACGATGGGGTGCTTGGTTAGAATCAGCAATATTTTATGCAGATAATTTCGAAAATTTTAAAAATGTTATACAAAGCCTACCAGAAGACGATGTAAAAAGCATTAAAAACTGTAAGCAAATTCTAACTAAATCAAATATAATTAACGATTTAACTTATATTAAAACAAATTTTTCGGTTATTGTTGAAAGTATTAAAAAGCTTGAGACTTCAGGTTTGCTACTCATAAATGCTTTAGAAATATTTGAACAAGTTACAAATGCTATCAATAATCTTTCAGAAAATGAAAATAGCGTATTAATTAAAAAAAAATGTTCCGACATTATTAAAAAAAACAAAGGCCTGCTAATTTTAAAAGAAATTTCTAAAATACACCAAGGTGAGAATGTTGACTTAAGTTCTTCTATCAAACACTTTTCCCCGGAAATGTTGTCAAGTTTTAAATATGCACCCATAACAAGTGTTGATGTGGAACGAAGTTTTTCTGCATACAAACATATTGTCACAAATCGCCGTCATAATTTAACTGAGATCAATATGGAACATATTATTGTTACTTATTGTTTTTCCAATAACAAATAAATTATATATTTTTTATCACAATCATAAATTCATAAAATATATTGTATATAATATTGTAGTTTATTATTTTTTTTTCATCATAAATGTTTTGATTTTATAAATTTTCCATAAATAAAAAGCTGTAATAGGTAATAAAAATTTATTTTGCATGTTTTGTGATATTTAAGTGCATATTTTCGTCATAAATGTTTTGATTTTATAATTTTACCATAAATAAAAAGCTGTAATAATCAAAAATTATTTTGCATCTTTTATGATTTTTAAGTGCATATTCAGAACTTTTTAAGTGCATATTTGCATGCATATTTTAACATTTTAAATGCATATAAATCCGGTCTTTACTAATAATAGTTAACATACTTAATACCTAAATATTATACTTTAACACTTAATAGTAATATTCTGTATTTCCGTGTAATTTCACTAATATTCTTCATCCAAGTACTAATTTTTATAGTTGTGAGGTGCGACCATGGATAAAAGAACGTGAACTAACGATAGTGTGTCGCCATAAATAACCTTATAAGGACGCACGAATAATATTATATTTTATGTCGCAGTCCCACCGTGGTGGTATTGCGCCGTGTCCTACTGAAAAATGTGACGAAAAACAAAAATAGTTTGTATTTCATCGCATCGGACGCTTAGTATAATATTGCGACGTAACGGCACGAATGAATGATCAGAATAGAAATCGGCAGACTCGACTTGGGGTATAATGTTTAATTATGTATAATTATATTTTACTCGATTTTACGACTTTCGTACCGTTAGCAGATCTTATCAAATCGTGGTACAAAATATATTGTTATCACTTATCACAAGACACAGTTGACAATATTATTCAGTGATAATCATTTTTCTATGGATTATTAATATTTTACATTCCTACGAAATAGTTTTATACCTATTCTTTTTCTACGTGGAAAGTGTTTCGGTTTTGTAATATTCTTTTTCATCTACGAAGTAATATTATACAGTAATATTCAATTGTCTGCACCATCTCGCGGTGCTCAGTTATCAATTCGACCGCCTCCCGTCCGTCCGGTTAACCGTTTTTATTTCGTCGGCACAGTCTTGTGAACCCTCAGTATTAAATTTGACAAAACTCCGGCATGGTCGTGGAATTTTCGACTTTAGGAACGTTTTATGCGGTTGAAGTCAAGTGACTTCCGGGGAAGCTGGTGCTCATCAAAAAATGACGTTCATGATGAAACGCTTGACGAAAAAATTGTGTTTCTATTGTGTACTGGCAATACTCTTGGTTTGCCTGTTTAATGTCTTGACGTCCAAGAACGGTGATTCAGAAATCGATTTGAAGCAATATGACGGTAGGTTCGATAAGTGAAACATCAATATGTTGTAGGTGTTCACTAGTTTAATATAATATATACTCTTTTTATTTTTTTCAGAGATTTTCAAGACTTATTATACATACTCTAATGGTAAGTAAATTAAATTGATTACAAATTTGCCTACAAATAATATTACTAAACTCAAGTTTATCTTGTTCAAAGAGTTGAAGTCTAATGTTCGAATATTGTTCATTCCTATTTGTATTCATAGTTCTTAATATTTTTAGATAGTGATTTGAATGGTCCAAAAGTATCCATGGATAACTCAAATCTTGTAAGAAAATTGCGAGAGAAATTCCTAGTCAAACCTATTGAAGAAAATAAAGGCCGTAGAACTCGTTACAATTTAATTGACATGTCGTTAATAGATCCGTCAATGGGACAAGCTGCTGAAATAGCCAAGATCATTGATTATACAGTAATAGTACATGTATACATCAATTTGAAGTTATTATTCTTAATTTATTTTTATTTTAGAAAGGAGGTTTTTTTATCGAATGCGGAGCTTTGGACGGAGAAACAAGATCTAATACATTATACTTTGAACGGTATTATGGATGGGTGGGATTACTTATTGAAGCAGATCCTTTAAATTTTGTGAAAATGTTAAAAAAAGGTCGTAGAGCATATTTATCACCTACTTGTCTTAGTGTCAATCCTTATCCTGAAATTGTAAGTTTAACTAATCAAAGATGAATATAATATAATATTCTGTATACAATAGTGAAATTTAACAGTGGCGGTTCTGGCTTACGGGCAGGGCGAGCAGCTGCCCCGGCCAAAATATTTGAAGTTCACTGGTTTAAAAATTCAATATCTTTTCGTTTTGATAAGTTAATTAAAGCATTATGAGTCAAAAGAATGAAAATAGTTCTTTAATTTTTACACCTAGTTAAAATGATTAGCTATATCTTATAAAATATATATTATAAATATATATTTATGCCCTTACAAAATTTGAGTCCTAGAACCGCCCCTGAAATGTAGTACATATAAATCAGTGTATTATTAACAAGTTTCATTTTTGTGCCTGAGAAATTTTTATTTTGTTTTGAATAGTTACTACAAAATATGCTGAAATAATTGTATTTTTTAGGTTTCTTTTCTTCAACGTAGTAATATGGGTCGGATAGCAAATGATGAGGTTGTAGAAGACGAAGTAATGTCCGATGATTATGGGAAAAAGAAATCACCTATTGTTAATGTACAATGTTTTCCATTCTATACATATCTTTTAGCATTAAATATAACGGTAATAGATTATTTCAGCTTAGATGTCGAAGGATCAGAATTGAATGTATTAAAAACTATTCCATTTGATAAGATCGATATACGAGTAAGTTTAGTAATAATATTACTTGTATAATTATGTATTATAAGAAAAATTGACCTATATATTTTTGTTTATAGACTTTATCAGTTGAATTTTTCCATGTAAAAGAAGGCGACGATGGTGTAAGAACGTACTTGGAAGATAAAGGGTATATAGTAACTGGAAAAGTAACAAGGCAGGATCGATTAGCAAATGATTACATATTTGCAAAACCATCAGCCCTAACACAAAATCTATCATTTTATGTAACCTAATAAAAAAAGTATGCAATATATGAATGGGCTATGGACTGAAGTGCCTATTAAAATATTTGGTTTTGAAATTTAAGTATGTCATGTTTAATCAGGATTTGTGATAACATTTTCAGATTGTATTAGTTATTATATTATTATATAATATGTTTTAACACGAGTCATATATTTTGATATATAGTTGTTATGGCATTTCAAAATTCTATTTAATCATTAAAGCAATTGTCTATAGCTATTTTAGACCTAGATTTCCGTTTAAATTATATTTTATAATTTCATGACAGAAATGCTGAGTGATGAAACTTATCCCATCAACGAAATCGAGGTTTGAACTTATTATGAATAAGTCATAAAGACACATTATGTCAAGTAGTCAAGTATCATAATTCATAACCCTCAATAAAATTTTTTAATGCCAAATAATTTTTGTTCCAATAAGAATATTGTAAGTCTTAACATAACTATTCATTTTTTAATTGCTCTTAAACAGTTTAATTTATGAGAGTTACACGACTTGGATTTTGTACTAAAAATATTATATCTTGCCCAACTTTTTGCTACTTTTAAACATCACTAGAAACTCAACAAATAATAATTATTTCTTCATATTCTTTTCTTTAGAAACTAGTAGATCATTTAAAAAATTTATTTTTGTATCTTTTTTTGAAAAAAAAATAATTTTTTTATTCATATAATTTAATAATACTTACTGTTGCCGAAGTGAGAAGAGTGCTAAGTCTCATACAGTCTCAATATCCCGTTGGTAACAGCTTTTTAATTCTTAAATTATTTTGTGATAAAGTAAAATTATACATTTATCATATATGATTGTTGGCAATGTTGATTAAAAATTACTTATCCATTGAAATATTTTTTATGTAATTTTTTTTGGAACTTCATTAGAAAAATAATATATATGTTACTATCAAAGTCTATTTACTTGTCAAACATATTTTCAATTTATTTCATTAAAAAAAGTATTTTTCTACATTTCAGTTTAAATATTAACATGTACTGAAAAATTATTAAATGTTTTAACATAAACTAAGTTAGGTTTTTCTAAAATGTGTATTTTTTTGTGCTATACATTTGTTTAATTATTATCCTATTTCTATTTTTCTTATAATACTTCTTTAGAACATGTCTAACCTAACCTACACTTCTTTACTATTTATTAATCAATTTAACCCATATGCCATCAAAGTATCAAACATAACATTTTTAGAATCAATATTAAGTATTGTAATTATACTCCTTTTTTTTTTTTTTATAAAACATTTAATAATATATTATTCACATTGTAATTTATTGTGTATACATTAGTGTTGTTATTTATTTTTATAGTACTCTGAATTAAATACATTTAAAAGATACATATTTATTTTAGAACAACATAATTGTTTTTATTTATCATTTAATAAATCATTATCATATTACCTACATATAGTTGTATTGAAATTTAGTTTACTCAATTGTCACACTCATACCATATTACATATTCACAAACACTAAAATACTAAACTTAACATTTTTCATTTTTATTGTTGAGTTTTTTTTTTTGATTTTTGAAAATGGTTGATAGGTCATACCTGTTATATACATTTTACATGAAATATAAATATTTTAATTGACTGATGATTAACAACAAAATGCTTTTTTCGTCAATATAAGAATTGTAGTTATGGCGTTTTACTGTAATAATAATATTTACAATACTGGAACAATTAATTATTTAAATACATTAGTACACAAATTTAACATAGGTAAAACAGTTTAAAAATTCAATCAAAATGCATGTTATATAATAACACAATTTCTGTCATTGTAGGCACACATCAAAACATATTATTTATAATTTGTCCACGTTGGATTTAAACAATTTAATGTAAATTACATGTAAGGGGCTAAGATGGTTTTTATTAATATTACATTCTTAACTGTTGGCAATGTTTGATACAATATAATAATATTACATATTAATAAATACTTACAATAAATAATAAATATAATATAATGTTGTATGTGGTGTGTAAAATGTAAATCAAACCAATAGGGGTAATATAGGTAACAGTGTTAGTAATTTATTTTAGCCTGATGTGGGACTAAAATAATAAAAATTTCATCCTGAAATACTTATGTAGGTCAAAACCCCACCCCATCCAAATTTTCTGTTACTGTAATAAGAATAATTACTAACAAGTATTTAAGTCCCTCCAGAGATTTCCTTATCGTTTCTGATTCTCAAGCCAGTATTTTAGCAATCGTCAACAACCCCTTCCTTTCCAAGTGGTCCCCCAAATTTCTAAAAGTCTTCGCATTACTACTATCCCTCAAAACCAGGTCATTCAATATCTCCTCCTTATGGGCCCAAGGGCATATAGGCACAAACGGCAATGAGCACGCCGACTCGTCAGCTGGCTCCACCACCAACCAGTCTTATTCGGGCCCTCAGTGGTGTCCCTATACTGATTTAGTCACCTTACATCGCACATCCATACATGTGGTATCGGTGCTATGGAGGCTGGAATGGGATTACCTACCTACCAGAGTCTTATGCTTTTGGTTATATAGATTATTATTTAAAAGTATCCTCATTCAACCATGGTTTCAATCCTTAAAGATTAGTAGCGCTGCTATAATCAAATACACCACATTTAGCACTGGTCCGTGGTCAAAGGCCACAGCCTACTGCTACCACACCACTCGTTTAAAATGGGACTCAACAGTTGTTCGTAATGCCCCCTACCTAACTAAGGTGGGAATTACTGCGACTTCCAACATCTACTCAAATATTGTCCATCTCTCTCTCCCCAGAGAACTCGGTTAAAGTTTTTCTTTTCCACTCTTGGTATCAACTTTTCCCTCATCATACCCTCACTCAACTAATAATATGAGTATAATTATGCATAATATGCTTAATTGTATAGGTACTTCAATCAGCTGGCCTTCGAATTTAACAGTGAGAGCTTAACCAATTTATATGTCTAATTATATCAATGATATGTTCATAATAGGTAATTGTCGAGATATTATAATTTATGATGTCCTCGTTAAAATCTCATAAATTAAAAAAAAACAAGTAGGTACCTATTAAGAGGACGTCGCACCTCATGTGTAGTCTCCGTCTTACAGGCGTACGATATAGACAAAACGCGTTTACGCAGTCTGAGTATATAAATCGCTCAATTTTGGTTCAGAATAAAAATACCTATTATAAAATTGAATTGTGACAATATATGTGAGGAGATTCGTTGAGTTTTTTCCAATTTTAAAATACCTTTAACTTTTCAAAATTTAAATTTTTTTTAAAAAAAAACTCACTGTCTTGACCTCTAAAATATTGCCATTTTTTAATTTTGTAATAGGGTGTTTTTGTTCTAACACTAAAATTGGGTATAAGTTCTACTCGTAAACGCGTTTTGTCTATGTCGTACCTACGCGTTTGTAAGACGGAGGCAACACATGCGAGTGTGACGTCTTCTTATAATTTACATACCTACTCATAATTCACTTAAAAATTAGAACATCGTATAAAACCAACAAGATAACATACAGTGGCAGTTTTTAAGGAGGGGGGTGAAGGGGGCCCTCATCCCCTTGGATTTTTTTGCATGTCTTTTTTTTTAATTGAAATTACACTAAATGCTTGAATTGCTTTAATTATGAAAAGGGGAGGCCTAAAAATTGAAAATAGCCCCCCCGCCCCTTGATGTTTTATCAAAACCGTCACTGAGAACACAGATAATGCTTTGTTACGTAAAAATTTTATATTAGGTCGATTCATTCTGATAACAAAACTGACAGCACCCTATTGAAACTAGCCAACGAAGATTTACTATGTCGTCGAGGTATACAGATTGATAATTGTTACCTATAGTGTTAATACTTTTTTGAAGTATTTTTCCTCTTGAGTTGTGTGATATGCAACCCAATTCGGAATGCTCGGCTTTGAAATCACCCCTACCGCTGCTAACAAATTTCGGCCAAGGGATTTTTAAAACTCTTTTACTTGTTTTTAAGTATAATAGCAGGATGGCGTGGAAAGTAAATTGAAGATATTTACCATCATTCTTAAATCATTGAGATATATAAATCACAACGATAAAAGTCGAAATTTCAAGTGGGTGTCAGGTGTGATAAACTAGATTTAAGCCCATGTGATCAAGAAATCCAAACATTCACTTCAATCAATACATTTTTTTACGTGGGTCGTGGATCAACTATTCTCTTTTTGAAACTATTATTTTGTTTACGATATAATATTTAATACTATATATAGGTAAAATCTAATAGCATAGACTAGGGTAGTCCAACCCTGTTTATTTCGCTGACCAATTTATAAATACATTCAAATGAATATGGCGGTCCAAAAATAAAAAATAATAACATATCTTCCCACTATTGCCACAGATTATTATTTTTCTTATTGTATAGGTAGTAGGTACATACGAGACTCGTATAATAGTGTTTATTGTATAATGTATAGGTATTGTATATTTTCGATATTTTGGTGTTACAGTGGTTACAGTGTTACCGCATATACCTACGACAATTTTTAAATTACGAAATACAGTTTCATTTATTCAGGAGGGACAATAAAAAAATCTGATGGTTAGACCACTCCACGCTGTCATAGACTAAGCGTATATGATGATATTATATACTTTGCAGATTTTTAATTTATTAATATTATAGTATCTATAGTCCAGTCAATAGGGGGTTTTACTATCTATATATGTATAAATGAATGCACGTTGGTATAATAAGGCTTATTGACTTGGAAACCAATAGTTTACTAGGTAGGTAGTGTTTTTTTTCTTCGTTTTTCAACTTCTATAGGTTGGTTAGGTAGGGATATATAGCTCACACATAAGAATTTCGTTTTCACGAAAATTGAATACATTTTTTGTTTATATATATTATAACGGGGCTTTCCATCGGTTACAAACAATTTTATTGGTATAGGTACCTACCTAAAGGGAATAATATTGGATGGCAAGTCT